TTCTATTGCCTATTAATTCGCTACATATTTTTTTATGGCGACACATTTTGAATAGCGTTTTTATCGAAATGAAGTGACTTCATGAATTCTAAGAACGAAAATTAAAAAAAAAACAAAAAAATTACGAGTTTTTCATCATTATTTTCGTGCGCACTAACCTCTCTGAAATAATTAATAAAAACAAATTATCTTTAATTAATTCTACTTCCTTTTTTAATTATTTTCATTATAACTCATTGTATATTTCGGACCACCTTCATCGCCAATTAATTGCATATTTTTTTGCGCCAAACATCATACATTTTCACGAGAACATGACGGACTGCTACGTGCTCTTTAAACCGGGCCCAGTTTTAAATCGACAGCCTGCAAAAATATGGTAATGTTGCGCCGCACAAGAATTCCTTTTTTTTCGCGGATACCTAAACGAACCGAATTGTACGCGTACGTAAGGCGCACTAGTAATTAAACTACTTTGTCGAAGAAAACGATTTGGGTATGCAATTATGTTATAACGTATAAAGGGACCGACCGCTTCAGGAGCGATTTAAATTAAACTTTGAAGTTTCTATGCGAAAAAACTGTACATTTTTGCGACCATAATTCTTATAGCCTTTAAAAAATGTGGGAAAAAGACTAACCGATTATACTAACAAAATTTATACCAAAAGATCTTTCAATAAATTTTAGCTGGATAAACCGCTTTCGAGATTTCTGCTAGTAACTAAACGTTTTTTAGATAACAAAAATAATAAATTTAATAATTCTTTAATACGAGGTGTGTTCAGAAAATATCGGGAATTTTCGTTTTTTGAAACAAATATTTATTTATTCGTCTACATAAATGTTGTCGCCTTCAAAATTGTCCCCATTGGATATTATCTTCCAATACTCGAAACACTTCTAAAACTCGATCTTTGGGATAGCCTTTAGTTCTTTCAGCGATGCGCTTTTAATGTCATCTATGCTTGCAAAACGACGGCCTTTTAAGGTACTCTTTATTTTTGGGAATAGGAAAAATTCAGACAGAGGCATTGTTTATTGTTTGGTAATTGTTGTTAAATTGTTGCTCGAAGGACCATAAAACGATGTTTGTGTTTGTTTGATGTTGTTGTATTTTTGTATTGTTGATTAAAACCACAATAGTGTATGGTTTTTAAATAGATATTTATTTACACATAACTTAAACTAAAACTATTTAAACAAGTGAAATAAAAACTAGATCATTGGCGATCAATTTGGGTAGTCGATACTGCCCATGTGTTGCAATGCTGCTTAATTGAGTGAATGTATTCGAATGTCGTCCTACAGTTCGGGTAGTTTTAAACCCCCTCGCTACTAGACATATGATTGGCTTGCCTCTACAGTGGGAGTGGCAATATAAGCCTGCTTAAATTATACTTAAAAATATACATTTACGTTATAAAGAATTAAAAATTGAAACTTTGCTTTAACAGGCATGTCTGGCGAATATGGAGGCTGGGGCATCATTACAGTATTGTTTTTGGCCAAAATTTTTGTTCATTTAACAATTTTAGAACTAATTTTGCTGCCACGCGTTTCATACCCAAAACATTCGAAAAAATTTCATGGGATGAGCCAATCGATATACCAACATCATCAGCGACTTCTCTGATGGTTTATAACCATTTCTTCCACTTTTTCCATATTTTTATCGGTTGTTAATGTGCTTGTGCGTTCGGGGCGTTCGTCATCTTCAACGTCTTCACGGTCATCTTGGAAACTCTTATACCACTTGTAAACTCTTGTTTTATAAAAGTATACTTATAGCAGACTCACTATAACCTTTGTTAACATTTCACAGAATTTATTTCATTTTTTAAGCAAAATGGAATACAAATTCTTTGATCCATTTCTTTTAACGAACGAAAAATCGCCGAGCTCATAAAACACGTCTAACCTTACAAAGTAAACAATGAAAACAGCTAAAGTTTTTATCATACTTCGGGGGCATGTATACCTACATAATAAAGAAAATTTTATGACAACCGGACCCTCCGAACCCGCGAAATTTAGCAATTCCTGTTACTATATAGTGTACTCTCTAAAAATAAATTAGTCAAAAATGACATTTAATAGTTATTAGTGGCTGCTTTTTTCACTTGTACCATGGTTAACCATGGAATACCATGGTATCCCAAAATTTAACAGCCAATTCTTAGTGGAGCAGTTTTTGAGATATAGTCAATTCCATATTAAATGGAAAACTGACTATATCTCAAAAACTGTTGTACTTTTTTAACTTTTGACGACATTTTGGGATATCATGGTATTCGATGGTTAACCATGGTACAAGTGAAAAAGCAGCCACTAATAACTATTAAATTAGTCATTTTTGACTAATTCATTTTTAGAGAGTAGTGTGGATTAAAAATTCATCATGAATATTTCAGCAGCTGGTACCAACTCGCTACCCATATATACATCTTGACAAAATACAGAACGTGAATTATAATTTATTTGCCTCGTGTTGTGACGTCAAACTGGAGATAATAACATCATTATGTAGACACAATAATGCGGCATTGTTATTTGTTAAATACAAATTCACATGATGTCCTGTAAAAAGATTGGCGATGCATAAAGTTTTTGCTTTTTGTTAAGTAAAAATTTCAATTAAATATTTGTCAGGGAGGGACTGTATTTTAAATTATATACAGTGTGAGGTAAAAGTATGGAACAAATTTATTGAAAAATTCGACTTTTTTTCTACCCCCATTTCAGCAATATGCCATTTATATCTTTTGAGCTGATAGTTTCGGGGATATTAATTATTAAAAGTGGAAAATTTATAGTTTTTAATAATGTTTTATAGTTTTTGTTAAAAGACTTTTTAATAGGGGCTTGATAAAATTAAATGTATAAACTAAAAAAGTTTGACCTTGAAATAAAATATGTTTAGAAAGTTTATGAACACTTTTTAATTTTATCAAAAGTCCATTAAAAAGTCTTTTAATAAAAACTATAAAACATCAAAACATTATTAAAAACATTAAAACATTTTTTAATAAATTTGTTCCACACTTTTGCCTGTCATTGTATATGTTTGTGCCAGGTCTATGATTTCAAAACAAGCACTAAAAATAAAAATTCCATTATTATTTACCAACAAATATTTGTGTTTTAAACAAAATAAAGTTTCTTGTCACCTACTTTATTTATTTTTCTCATAACAACTGATATTTAGTCAAACAATTTTACTTTTTTTCTTTAATAATTACAAATAGTTTATGAACCATTTTAAAACTAACGGTAGACATATAAAGCAATTAAAAATTATGTTGCACATACTCGGTCAGTTTAAAAAGTTAAACTACTTAAAATAATGCGTAAATAAAAATTAAATATTCATTAAAAAAATCAGTTACGAGTAAGCAATAATTTGGCATTTAAACAATTTTGTCTCATAAAATTAAATACTAAATAAATTAAGAGTTTTTGGGATGGTAATTGGATAACGAGATTTCAGTAAATAAACTGCCCAACTAAGCAACTTAGTTTTCCAAAATCGAAATTTGAAATACTAATGAAAAAATAATGTTTTTGTTTTTTTTAATCCATACAATCAAAAAGTGTTAGGGTTAGGTTTGTTTTTATTTTTTTAATTTCCAATACATTACATACGCAGATATTACAAATAACTAGATGGCAAAGTAGACAGTTATCAGACACTTTATTGTTATTGGACAATTAAGATTAATACTGTAAAAACAAGAGTTCTATAAATAGTTACCTTAAAGTCAAATCATTAGATGACGTTGGTCCCAATATAGGACAAAAAAGTTCGCACGTTACTTTGGTGGTAAGATTTTTGTTTTTTTAAGAGCAGGGCTGTGATTAAATTACAATAAAAAATATTTCTAAAAAGTGTACAGATCAGTGTGTGGTATAAATGTGTTGCTCATAGTTTAAACATTGTCACTTTAATGCGTTTTAATTTTAATTCTGAAAGCAAACAGTAAAATGGCCAGTGTCCAGTTACTGGTTGGTAAAAAATGTAAATTTCTATTATTGGACATATGTCCAATATCATACTCTATTTGTATCCCGGACATTATAAATGCTTCACAAACTAGAGTTACCACACTTGATATTTGCAACAAACTATTTCAGAAGTCAGACCAAGAAATTAGTAGTTACCTTCAGAATCCAACAAATTACCTAAAACAGCAATTTATCTTTAAAAAATATTTAAAAATTTATGTTATTTGATGTGAAGTTGTTATGTTTAAATAAATTTGCATGTCCAATAAATTTGATCCGTGTGTCCAATTATTATATAAAATGTCCAATTACTATACTTTTTTGCATGATTTTATAAAACTATTATTAAAAATTTAAATATTCTTATTTTTAAGTAACGTAAATAAAAATTAAACAAACAAACTATCCTTTTTATGTATTTATAAGAAAAAAATTAAATATCACAATTCCTGACTATATAGGTTAATATTATCACAGATAAGATTATGTTTAATTCCATAAATTAGTTTTACGCTGTTAATCCTTATTAGAGATTTTATGTTATGTATTTTTAAGTTTTCATAGAGTTCTTTGGTGTTGGTTAAAATGGGTTTATTGAATATCGTTTTGATAATTTTGTAATTGGTTTAATGTTGTTTGTCCCCAAAAAGCAGTGAGATAGGTTAATTGGGAGTTACATGTGCATTGTAAATAAGATATTTTGTTTTTTTTGTTAAATTTATAAGAATATTGATATGATTCACAGAATTAGTCCAATGTGTTTTATTTCACTAACTTCCTCCAATAGTTCATTTTAAATTTGTAAAACACAGTTTGTTGATAATTCAGGTTTAAATACTATAGAGCTAAAAACTTCCAAAATAAAATTGTTAAATGTTAAAAAATTGTATTCATAAAATTAAATTTTTTTGTTATAATTTCCTATATACCCTGTACATACATAGGTGTATAATACTGGCTGAAAATTTCGACGTTTCAGCTTGCATTCGCTCCTACAACAGTTCTCGGCAAGCAAACATTGCGTGCTCGGGCAGTGTGGGCCCGGTGTGGTACATGCTGCTTTACTCTTAGTTCTGTTCAAAACACGACCAAGTCTGGACTCCCAGCATTGCAGTCTATCGCTGTTTTATCGCTGTTATCTCTTCGCGATATCGCTGAAAAAACATAAACTAATTTTAAGACGCTTTGTGTTTGGTGTTGTATCTATGTGCTTGTTGATAAAGTGCGTTTTGGTGCGTTTTTTCGACTGGGTAGTGTAAAGTCATTTTAGGAGGGTAAATTATTTATAAAAATGTTTAGTTTTAATACGGATGGAACTAACATTTCTTTAAAATAATTCATTTAAACGAAACACTTTTTTGTGGATTTACCTCGCAAGTAAGGTTTTTTTTCAACCTAGTAGTAGTATTATTATAATTCACTTGCTTTATACCAATATGCAAATAAATGTTAAAATATAAATTGTTAACTTATCAGAAGGAAATTTAAATTTATCCTTCAATTTTTAATTACACTGCGTCACTACAAAGTTATACTGTTGTATGTACAAAATTTTGGGCTTTAGAATTCATTTTTTTAATAAAATTTTTGATTAAGTACACTATAAAAATGCATCAGGAAATCCCCTAATTCAATCAAGATCTAATTTACCTAATTAGTTTATTTTTTACGGTAAATAACAAATATAAACTTATAGTCAAATATTATAAAAAATCGAATATTTTTCTAGAAACTGTAAAGTTTTCCTGCCATATTAATATCACTCATATTTAAATATCAGAAACCAATTACAAAAATCGATTATTATAGGATTTCCGGTGATAGTAATAGATTAAATTTAAAAACCTTAAAGCGATAAAAAATTATAAATAAATCATTTGGACTATGTATACGAGGTGTGTTCAGAAAATAACGGGAATTGTTCAATTTCGCGGGTTCGGAGGGTCCGGTTGTCATAAAATTTTCTTTATTATGTTGGTATACATGCCACCGAAGCATGATAAAAACTTTAGCTGTTTTCATTGTTTACTTTGTCTGTGGCAGCCGCTAAGGTTAGACGTGTTTTATGTTCTCGGCGATTTTTCGTTCGTTAAAAGAAATGGATCAAAGAATTTGTATCCAATTTTGCTTAAAAAATGAAATAAATTCTCTGAAATGTTAACAAAGGCCTATAGTGAGTCTGCTATAAGTAAAACAAGAATTTACTAGTGGTATAAGAGTTTCTAAGATGGCCGTGAAGACGTTGAAGATGACGAACGCCCCGAACGCCGATAAAAACATGGGAAAAGTGGAAGAAATGGTTATAAACCATCAGAGAAGTCGCTGATGATGTTGGTATATCGATTGGCTCATCCCATGAAATTTTTTCGAATGTTTTGAGTATAAAACGCGTGGTAGCAAAATTTTTTCTAAAATTGTTAAATTTTGAACAAAATTTTTGGCCAAAAACAATACTGTAATGATGTCCCAGCCTCTATATTCGCCAGACATGCCTCTGTCTGACTTTTTCCTATTCCCAAAAATAAAGAGAACCTTAAAGGGCCGTCGTTTTGCAAGCATAGATGACATTAAAAGCGCATCGCTGAAAGAACTAAAGGCTATCCCAAAGATCGAGTTTTAGAAGTGTTTCGAGTATTGGAAAAAGAGCTGGCACATGTGCATAATATCCAATGGGGACTATTTTGAAGGCGACAACATTAATGTTTCAAAAAACGAAAATTTCCGATATTTTCTGAACACACCTCGTATATGTTTATAGTTTAAGTGAGTATTGATATTGACTCGGAGCGAGTAATTTTTTATACTTGCCTAACCTATAAATCTATCGATAAATTAATCTGCCCCAAAAGACATCAAACTACATAATATGTTTTATTATATTATATTATTAATGTAGTTTAAAATCCTGTTTAATCATTTGTAATTTAATACATATCAAGATCTCTATCTCATGAAATTAAACGGTTATATTTTTTACTTTCGTTTTTTAGATACATTCATTTTAATTCTTACTTCATAAATTAATAAAATATTTTTTTAATTTTGTTAATAATATTAACTAATAATATTGTCCAAAAAAATAATATATTATTAAAATATTTTATCTTCACAAGTTTTTTTTTATTCTTTGGAATTATTTAGAGGTCGTCCATAATTATAATTAAACGTATACAGGGTGTCCTAACTACTTTGTTATTATTGGAACTACAAAGTCGGGTTAATTATCAAATTGGTGGTATTTTTTCTTTTGATTAAAATGATAGAAACAGAAAAATTAATGATATGAAACAATAAAATCAAAAACTAATAACAGTACAAAAACCTTAATAAACATTTCAAACCATTTAAATTAATAACAAAAATTAAATAATTATAAAATATAAAAAAATATTGCATGTGTTATAGAATTTCTACTGACGCAAATCATAGTAAAAACTTAAACATATATTTATCTAAGCTAAAAATTAAACATCTGGTTTTTATTGTGAAGATGAATGATTTAATAAACAGTATGGTGTCATTTAAATAATTGTTAATTCAATTGGTTTAATTTTTATATTGAACTGTTGATTGATTTACAACAAATTTTAATTGAATTGAATTGAATGAATGGCCGGGCATTAAATGATTGTTTTTTGCGTTTAGAAGAATTTCCAAACAAACTTGACATTTTAATTTGATTGCATACAATTTTCCTTTTTGTTTAAATTCAGAGAACACGTAGTGAACAATTTAATCTTAGATGGTATTTATAAATACTTCAATAGGATTCTTCTGCCTAAAGAAGAAAATCTCTTAGTGGAAAAAATATGTAACTTAAATGAAACGAGATACATTTGGAGTGAGGAATTCTAAGCAAATACTGAGATTTTATGTAGTCAATTTTCTGGCTCTCCGAAAATTGCCAAAAAATACATGTGGACTAATAAAAACAAGTAATACTGGATGTATAAACTACCTTAAAGATTAAATAAACTGGACGTTCTCACATAAGATGCAAGTAGCATCATTTTCTTGCAAAACTATTATAACCAACGTAATTTTCTATTTGAATTCTTAAGTCGTAGCACGATAGACATCTAGATTACTTTTTACGTTACTTAAAAATTCTCCACTCGTTCTTCAATAACGTCCGTGTGTTACATAATTTTTAGAAAAATCAACAAAACAATGAAGACTCGGGTCGTAAAATTTAATGACAGTTCATTACACGGGCATGTAACGCCTTGCAAAATTTAAGAATGGGTAATTAGTGCCTTATGCAGCACGTAACTGCTCTTATAAGCAGGAATGCATTTTAGTTATTTTTTATGATTGTTACGCCAATAAGGAAGTATTAACTTTATTGTGTGCTATGATTTTTGCACTTTGTTTATTTGGACTTTGACAGTCGAAAATTTATTTATATATACACTCACAGGCAAAATAATCGATCCACACAAATTTTCGATGAATTTCAATCGCAAATAACTTTTTTATTTGTTTTCGGATTTAAACAAATATTAAAGAATATTGTAGATAAATTAATGGAGAATCGCTCACATTTTAAAAATTACTAAAAAATACACGTACGTTTATAATATACAGGTTTAAACAAAAATATGTTTTTTACCATAAGTTTAAGACACTCTGTAGAGTGGCAAAACCGTATATTGTTCTAAATTAAGTTTTAATTATCAAGTCACATCTATTTTTAACAGTTTTGTTTTTGGTTCACCTTGATATATTTATTTTTGTGGAAAATATGGATTTTTTTAAAAAAACATTGCAATTTCCAATAGTTTTCCTGTATGAAGAACTAAGGTTGCTATGGTCCATCTATAGCCTATGGAGGATGACAGTGACAGTTTTGTTGAATCATCCCATACTTGGACATGTCATATACAGCTTTCAAAAGCTATCAAATTGTTTTTTGTAAATTAATGTGTTAATTTATGTCTTATTACTTTCAAAATAGTCTCCGACTGATGTTGCCCTTTGTACTTTACTGGCTCTGGCAACATCAGTCGTAGAAATATCCATTTTTTAAAGTAAGAAGACACCTCAAAATATAAACATTAATTTTGGCAAAAACAATTTGATAGCTTTTGAAAGCCGTGTATGACATGTCCAAGTATGGGATGATTCAACAAAACTGTCACTGTCATTCTCCATAGCCTATGGATGGACCATAGCAACCTTAGTTCTTCATACAGAAAAATATTGGAAATTGCAATGTTTTTTTTTAAATCCATGTTTTCCAAAAAAATAAATATATCGAGGTGAACAAAAAACAAAACTGTTTAGAATAGATGTGACTTGATAAATATAACTTTATTTAGAACAATATACGGTTTTTCCACTCTACAGAGTGTCTTAAACTTATGGTAAAAAACATATTTTTGTTTAAACCTGTATATTATAAACGTACGTCTATTTTTTAGTAATTTTTTAAAATGTGAGCGATTGTCCGACGTCATTGATTGTAATATGTAGTTAAAAAGTCGTTTATGTTAAATTTTAATGGCTTTTATAATAAGAACTACTATTATACATTGTAAAATTGTTTAGTTTTTTTACTCAATTAAATGTTTCCGCAAAAACCATATTGTGTTTTCCAAAAAAAAATGATGGCATCACAATTTTTGCAACCAAATTCTAAATTAAAAAAAAATCCAATGCAATAAAATATACTAGAAAAGTACGACTACCAAGTAATTAACTTTCCATCGTCTTCAAGCAATAAATCTCATATACCTAATTAGTATAAATTTTGATGGATACCGTTTTACTTACGAAACAGAAGAATTAATTGACCCAGATAAACTAAATTATCTCTCTAAGAATTTTATCTTGACGAATAATAATAGAAAACAGTGATTGCAACTGAATTAAATTATCCCATTGTAGATGTATAAAAATTAATCAGATAAACAATATTATTTTAAACGGTCAAGATTAATCAACGGATTTTTGTTTATAATCGACACTACCCGGAAAAAAAAAGGTTGGATAAAATTGTATACAATTATATACAATTGTATATTATAAGTCTGTATCCTATTGGATACAAAAAAATATTGAGACGATACAGTTCTATATCATATAGAATTATACAGGGTGAGACATTTAACTTGGAAACTTTAGATATCTCAGTTAGTATGCATTTTACGAAAATTTTTTTAAAATAAAAATTAAATGATTCGAGAGGGGAAATCAATCAGTACTAAAATTGGTCCTCGTACTCTCCTCCTTATAGGGGGAACAAGGAGTTAATATTTCCAATGGAACACCC